AAACAAGTGCATTTTAAGCACTCGAGCGCACACATAGGCACTCTATTTTGACGCTCGCAAAAAGCTAAAAACGAAATAATACAAAGAGAGAATGAAAAATTCGTACTGCTTTTGAATCACATTCATTTTTAAATTACAAAAATAATGGCAGCTATTTCACGCTGGTGTGCTTTTATTTCGAGCAGTGAAAGTGAAATGAGTTTTAATTAAAAAATTAATATTTCACAGTTTTGCTCTCGCCAGTGGCAGTCAATCAACGAATGGCCCTTGGGCGTGCGTTGCGAATATAATAACAATAAACATGCAATTTTCAGTACTAGGGGTGCGAAATAGAGCTTGAAAATCGATTCAACGTGTGATTAACTCTGCATTGATTTAACTATATATGAGACACTGGTGTACGAATTTAATGGAATTTCGCGAGCGGCGCCCGCCACTTCATGCACTAATGATGCTGCAGGGGCGATGCGGGAGCGGAGAAAGACTCGCTCGGCAAATTTACACGCATGATTGTGCCGATGATGGATCGGCGCGCCTGATTAATGGGCACTTCAGCTCAGAGATTCATCCTCCCGCTGCTGGTTTATTGTTCCGCGAACGGACGTTTTTAGACTCGCTGTTTGGTTTCAATGCTGAGGACGTTGTGCCTAAAATAATGGTGTTTTCACTTTTCAGACATGAGACAGTTTGCGCACTTGAAAAGCTCAACCTCTTTTCATAGCAAGCACAAGTTTTAAGAACCTCAACAGTAAGCAAACTTTTAGCTAGTTTGGCCAAATTTATTTAGCATCACCAAGACGAGGTTCAAATGTTTTTGGCAGAAAAAATGATTCTTCCACCACCATGTCTCACCCTTTTTGAGTGAGAATAATTGCAATTATGACATCAATCAAAAAATAATTTTGTTATTTCGTTTCCGGAGAGTGCTTTTATTTGGAAAAAAAATCGAAAACATTATCTAATATTTTTCTTTAAAAAATAAATATTACTGGAATTTCATTATTTATGTGTTGCCAGATATTTTAGTCCTTTCCGCACTGGTCCTTGCGTGTGAAGTTAACAATCTCCAAAATGCAAATGTTGGTTTGAATTTTTACGCCATTTATATTTGGCTAAATCTCCACACATGCAAATTAAAACGACTCAATAAACTTGCGTTGCGATTGCGGAATTATGGTTGTGGTGAGCCGCATTATGACGTCGACGGGACAAGGAGAACATAAACATCGCGCACTTCACAAGCGCTCGCGGCGGGTGTACTTTCGGAAAGCAATCAAAACCAGAGAGAGACGAGGAAGAAGAAGCTTCTCGCAAAATTTGCGTTTAAAACAAGGACACGCCATTAGCCGGAAAAAGCTCGTGGATGCTAAAGATTTTCCACGCGTGTGGAAAATTCGTGAGCGGTGTAATGGGAATTTCTAGATGAAAAGAATCAAATTTGCACGGGAACAAAGGACGGGGGTACGCGTGCGGATGATGAATGATGAAAGGAGAGGACGAGGAACAAAAGGGCAAACGAAACACGAAACGTACGGCCACTTTTCCAGCAGCACCGGCGAGGAAGGATAAGTGAAAAGACGTGTATGTGTGTCAACGCGTCTTTTCTGCAGGCAGACAACATCAACACAGAAGCGGCAAAGTGCGAGACTCCAGTCAATTTCATCCAAATAAATATTATCCATCCATCCCGCTGCCGAAATGGAAATAAAGCTGCGATAAACACGTCAAAAGTGCGAGACGACGTAAAATAAACAGACCGCCGAGGAAAATCGTTTTTATCGGATGGAACTCTCACGCGAAAGTGTTTTTGGCGGAAAACGCAATCGTTCGTGAAGTTTTGTGTGCTCATATCAGAAAATATAAGGGGGCAGAGGGAAGCATGCAAATGAAAACACGGCTATAAAAACGAGCTGGAATAATTTAGTGCACGCCTTCTTTATTTTCTTATCGGAGAGAGAAATAAATGATTTTTGCCGCATTTCGCAGGAAAATATTTCATATAATTCGTGCAAAAACAACGCCCGAGGGCTTGGAAATCATACCGAGTGGTTTTGTAATTTTGTAAGGGAGGCCTGCAGGGCGAGCCGTGCCAACAAGAAGGACAAGCACATGCAGATAAAGCACTAGCTCGAGCCGCTGCTTGTCAAAATGAGACGGGAAAGAGACGCTGAGGGTAGGGATTATATCAAGCAGGGAGCAAGGAAAAGTTTGCCCAATCTGGGTAATAAAACAGAGAATGGAGAGAATGTATAATGCAAAATATTTTCTTTGCACTTTAAGTAAATTGGAAATTTTAATCAAAATAACTGCTTCAAATTCAATAACTTAATCTTTTAAAACAGCTCAATATTCAAATATTTTTGTTTAAAACTCAACAATTTACATTAAATTTGATAAAAATTATGAAAATAAATCAAAAATTAAATTTTAAATAGAAAACTATTTATCTAAGAACATTGTTCTAATTGTAAATAATAATGCATTGATATTTCTAAAATTACCATCAATTAATGAAAACTTTCAATAATAAACTATTTATATTAAAATACTCTTTTTATATAATTAAAAAATATATTTGGGTATTTTATTTGAAAATTAAAACTCAGACGGGATATTGATCTAAAACATAAAAAAGTCGCTAATCTCATACAACCTTAGACCCAAGGCAAGTGGAACATTCAAAGGCGCCTGTCACTTCAGTTTAACCCCGGATTTCCCCTGAAATTAACTTTGAATAGAAGAACGTCTCCTGCATGTATAGTCGTCAATTGACTCACACTTTCCGAGCCGCTCGGCAGCGACACATTAACATTTCAAATACACACTCCGTCAGCAAACGTGGCATGTGTGCCAATAAATTTCTCAGTCGGCAACGCCAGCAAGATGGTTTAAGATTTAACGCATCCATGATTAATTCCCATACAGCGGAGGCAACTTGATTTGAATTATTCGCAGCCGGCGCTGCATAATTGAGTCACATGGTTGCACCTTGCCGCGAGAGTTTCGTTCGTTTGTATGCATAGTAGCATTTTGACTTTTGGGCCGCCTCCAAGTGGAGCAACGATGGCCGACTTGTAATGTTCCATCGAAGATCGAGACGAAAACACTTGTCTGTAAATAACAGGGGGGTTGGTTCGGTGCAGGAAAAAGAGGGATTTGCAGCGATTTGTGTTTGTCAGCGGTCGCAAAATTAAACGAGAGAGAAAAGAAGTTTGGCCGAGAGGGAATCAACAGGATCGAGAGTTTTGTTGGTGAAAAGGGAAAGGGGAACTAGTTATCAACGGGGCTGACGGGGCCGTCCGATCACGTGTATTTATCGTGTTTTAAGCCCACCGCGTGTGTCGCCACGGAAAAGAAGTGCGAGACGAGAATCTCAAGCAAGTGGGCCATCGTGATTGTTCGCGTCGGCACTTTTCTTTAACTTTTCCGCCCAAAAACGCAACCGGGGACTGGACCGGGTGTAGTAGCAGCGAGAGCTTTCTCCGTGTTATTGGCAGCGACTGATACTGTGAAAAGAAATTAGGCCTTGTCGTTGGCAATTTGTAAGAGTGCCGTGCTAATCAAAGCTGAATTCTTATTGATTTCGAGAGAAATTAAAATTAGGCTCATTGTCAGTGGAATCGAGAAGTCTTGAAAAAATGAATTAAAATCGTTTTATGGAAAATCATTCTAAATTAGGAAATTTACTTTTTAATCAATTAATTTAATAAGAAGTGAACAATAAATTCAGTATAAAGGAATAAGTATAAATCAATTTATATGTATGAGAATGATTGATGGTTTAAAACTGAAAATTATAAGCTGCGCAATTAAATGTACTTATACTAATTTTGAGCATAATATAATAAATTTTCACTTCTAAAAAAATTAATCTTCCAAAAAAAAAAACAGTTTTAACATTTACTTTAATTTATGTTATTCTTCAACTATTTCAATTAAATGTACATACGTTGACAATTGGAAAATTGAGATTAAATTTTTTCCTCCCTCAAGTTATCTCTTCCTTGATAATAGGCCAGTACCAGGCACTAAAACGTCCAGCTAGCTTGGAAGAACTATATATTAATTTTTTTTCATCCCATTCTCCACTCGCTTCAGAGCAACAGTATCCGTTTTTGGGGCTCTACCATGCATGTATTTTTTGTTTCGCAGTCTAACACCCCAAACTCGAGACAATCTGTCTTTGCCACACTTCATTGTGCACAACTTTACCATGTCGTTTGCTTCCCTTTTTGCATGGAAGATGGACGACCCGAGTTTACTGCTAGACACGGCGCTGAAAAAAAATCGAGCTTTTGAACTTGTCCTTTTTTCAGTTCTGCGCATATCTATGAATGATGTGAGAGAGAGAAAAAAAAATTCCAACTAGGCAGAAAAGGGCAAATCGATATCAAAGGGCTAAAAGCCGACCCACAAAGAGCAATTTCTTAATGGATCGCCCTCTCTTTCATAGCAGTATTGCCACCCTAATGTTCCCCATTGCGGAAAACATGAACGACTAAAATAATTGTGTCAAAGTGGTACATGCAATTACCCGCCGGTTCGGTTCTATTGCCGCGGCAGACCTCATTATGCGGTTTTTGCAGAACGTCTATAATTTATGGCACCGGAATAAACATAATGGGCTTGTTTCGCTATTCATTGTAATGCCCTAGCCGAATGCAAAATTTCGTGGGGAGGACTTTCTTGTTGGATTTTTATCTCTGCGAGCTCGTAAATCACGGCCTGAATTATGCGCGTAATCCAAAGTCATAATAATCGTTTCTCTCTCTTCAGCCGCCATGAATTGCAAATGCCTGCTTTTTTGGAATGAATTTTTTTGAATGGGAAATTCTGCTTGTTGCCTTCCGGCAAAGCTCAATCCATCACTTGTCTTGCCGCCTCGCGTAATTAACTGCGAAATCGCGGCTGAAACTTGACGCGACGGCGATTTATTTCGCTCTCTCTCTCTCCAAAATAAAAATCCCAGGCGGATTAGGGCTCGTGTAGAGTGTGCTTACCGTGTCAATCTGGCCCGACTTGCGTGGATGGAACTCTGGCCGGCAGAGAGATGGTGAGCGGATTGCTGGTTGCCTGCACAACGGGACCTGAAAGCACAATGAGAGAACGACCGTCACTGACAATTTCACGGAATTACGCCCCGCTGACCCCATTTTTTCCAAGCGGAAAAACTTGATTTTCTGCTTGAACATGATTACATTTCTTAATCCAGAAAGATAATTTATTTTAAGCTCAATGAACGAGCTGCATTAAATAAGGAAAATTATCATATTTAACGTTTTATAATGCTCAATCATATTAAAGGATCCCAAGATCAAGAATTTATTAAATTAATTCGAAATAACATTAAAATTATACGGCTTAAGGTGATTAATTTGTTAAAGTCTCTATTTCATCAAAAAGAGGTCTCAAATTTTAGTATCCCATGTAAAGTTATTGTGAAGCAAAAAGTATAAAAAATGGAAAATTAAGTTTAGCAACTTTTATGGCTTCTGTTTTAATTCATTATATTTGTATTAAAATTAAAAACGGCAATGATTTTCCATAAATTTAATTAATGAAATTAGATTAAGAAGTCTATCGATTTCTTAAAAAAATAATTGCTAGGCACTTAATTCCATTTGAAAAAATTTAAAATTTAAAATAAAGTCATGAAACAGCCCGAGAAATTAAAAGTCCATTTTCTGCATCGAATTTTCTTCAAAGTAAAATTTAAAAATGTTTAATGTTCCCGCATTTGTTTATTCAAAATAACACTATTCACAATTATCCTACATGTCGAATGAAATAGAAAACATAATAGACTTGTTTCACTTTCAGTACATTTATTGATCACTATCAGCGAAGTGACATTATTTTGCTGATTCACTGAGCCGCATTGTTGACCTTCTTTTGACTGCCCAACCCATCTTTTAACAAAAGTGAGCTGACCCTCGGACGAAATCGACTTTTATGCCGAGTCTAATACGCATGAACGAATGCACAACGGTGTTTACTCGCCGTTGTTTGTTATGTATGTTTACGTTCTCTCTGTGTGTACTTATGTACAGAGTATACGAGACGACTCGCTCTTTTTCTGGCTTTGCAGGGCTGTTTATATTCTTTTTTACCCTCAACACATCGGCGTGTTTGTGCTGCACTCTTCTATTGCAAAGAATGGAGATTATGCTCGAAACAAATCCTGCAAATTCTGATTCAACAAAGATGCAAAATTGCGAAATGAGTGTGCATAGAGGGGAAAATGAATGCGGAAAGCAACACCGGTGCTGGCAACGTTTTTTCCCATTCTGAGAGAGCAAAGTCCCCTGAGTGAATCTCTCATGTTCCTTGGATAAAAAATGATGCAAACGTGCAGACGCGCGGAATCAAATATAGGGCGTGGAATAAAAATTCAAACACCTGCGTCAGACGGGATAAAAATAAATGACGGGGATTCGTCTCTTTCAGAAAGACGAACGAGCTCATAATCAAAATGACAGGAACATAAATATCAAAGTGGAGTATGGAAAAAACAACAGATTGGTGTTCGCCTCCTGCAAAAGTGACTTTTCGCTGAAAAAGTGTTTACTTGAGTATAAAATTTTCTTGCCATGAAAGACGAAGATTTACAATTAAGATAAAATTAGACTAAGACAAGATAGATATTGAAGTTGGAATGAGTGCGATTAAATTAAATAATCAACATTTTATCCAGCACAAGTTGAAATATATTATTTATACTATTTTAGGATTGGTTTTTCGTCACTCAATCCAATTTCCATTTCCTGGTAAAACATTACAAGCATTTTCAATTTAAAAAAATTTATTTCATGGGTTGAAAAACGTGATATTTTTTGTGCATCAGGCCTGCTCATATTAGCTTTAGTGAGAATATTATGGAAAAATATCTCAGAAAATAATATTTTCCAGTTCAGAAATTAATTGGTCTCCACAAATCAGAGTGCCTCATTTTGTCCCAGCCTGCCAAAAAAATAATTTAAAACCGTCAGCTGAATCATTATATTTTATTTTGGATCTGAAGATTTCTAAACCCAAAAACTAATTTATTCAGGCCACGTGATTAATCGACGGTTCAAACGGTGCCAGTGGTGTCACAGGGTCCGCATCGCAGCCCCACGCAGATAGGATCATTTCATTCCAGCCAGTCCAAGCAAGAAATAAACGCTGATTGCAATCAGCTGCGGCGCGAGTGACATTTTATTCTTCCTATTGCGGTAGGACGCTGCGTGTGTTTGTATCGATCGCACACGTGGGAGCGAGAAAATCGAGACCGACGAGCCGCCTCTCGAGGGAATCGCCCGTCCGAATGTGAAAGCCGCTTTATGAATATTGAACTTGAATTATTCACTAGTGCGCCGCGTAAATTGCCCAGCTGGCTGGCTGCGAAAGTGTGTTATTTTCGGTCTGTGTGGAGAACGCAATTGGCCGCGGACTGTCGGGGGAAACAATGCGGCGCTGATGGCCTTTGCTGTTACGATGAAATTGCCGCGCAGTAATTTCTTCCGGATGACTGACAACTAATTTCGAGGGCAGTATTATAATTTTTTTAGCGTAATTGGGAAATAACAACGCAGCGTGATTAGGTTTTTAGCGGTTTTTCGATGGACAAAGAAATAATTAATTCAGTATTTATTATGCAAAACTGGTTTTCCGTTTAAATTATTTTAAAATTAAATTTACATTTCATCTATGTTTGTGCAATTGATTGCTTACTTCAAAGAGCTTATTATCCCGTTATTATAGGACTAATTTAACTCACTTACATGGTAATCTCGTTTTAATCAATCAGGGACTGCATTAAAATGGTTCAATCTTGTCAATAATACAAAATTTGGCTGATTTGAAGAATTAATTAATAATTTAGAAATTTGCGTTCCAAATATAGAAGAATTCAATACTAGGACTGATAAAAATATCAAATATAATTTGTAAATTTTTATTAGTATTTGATTTACTTAAGCAAACCTACAATGATTTTAAAAGTGTGTTATTCAAAATTTCTTTTCTTATTTTTTTTTTTTAAATCAATTAAAAAACTGCGAGTTACTGGAAGTTTTTTATACAAATTCTTACCCTTTCCGCAACCCCACATCAATTGCAATTTGCATTCGCCACCTTGTTAGAATAAATTATAATCTCGTTAGGTTACTTGAGCATTCCTGAGACTACAAATGTCGCATTCTACATCGGGAGAAATGCTCTTACATAGTCCTTTGCAGACACATTGATCAAATGAGAGCGAGCGCTATTCCCTGCTCGCAAGCAATATTTCAGCGGCGTAATGTGCGCCACAACGAATTACCGCGCGCGGCTAAATAACTCTGTTGATACTACTTCGCTCTCATCCGTTTGCTGCGGCGGAAAGTTTAATATCGCACGTGCCACTTTTTATTCTGCTCTCGCCGCCGCCGCTCGTTTCCCTCAAGAGCGTCTTCTTAATGCAAATGCGCGCCGGCGGATGAGACTCGGCCGAGTTTCAACTTTTTAGCGTAAACACGTGCACACGCGAGAGAGTAAAGAGAACAGCGAATGTCGGTAATTAGCAAATGTACGTGTGTGCACTTCATTCTCGTTTTTGCGCCAAAGTAGCGCCGGAGAGCAACTGAATAATGAGGCGCTTGATTAAAATAACTTTGGTCGCAAATATTCAACTGGGAGTTGGTAAATATGCTTTTTACATTAGCATTTATTCCTGACATGGGCAGGCGGTGATGCGAGTTTGAAATGGAAATTAATTTGGCGCACGTTTCACTTTCAACACTGCCGGACTGAAAACTTTGCTAATGATTTTTTTTTCAATATAATACGAAAATGTGAGCTTTTGATGTGGGTCCTGCTGAAATTAAATTGTACCGTCTATATTTAACTTAATCCAATTGAATTCTAGAAGGAAATATGGTGTTATTAATCTCATTAGGATGATGGCTTTGACAGTCCCAACGAACAATAATAAGTGGGATATTTAAATTGAATCACATTGGAAAACTCAAATTCTTCTCTTACCAAAGTATTTTTTTCTACATAAAATTAATTATTCGCCATTCCAGTAAACAATTAAATTTACAATATATATTAAATAACTTAATTAACTGTCGTTTTTTTATTAGTTAAAATTGGTTTTGGGAATTATTTGATAATACTTATTAAGCTAAAAGATTTTTTTAATATAAAATAGTTTATTTTTTTATAAAAATATTATCACTATCAATTGCACTTTGATTAAATAACTCCACGATAAATACAATTCTTTCATATTCTAGTTGTGCTAAATTGAGTGGCATATTTCAGGTTAAAATCTCTTAAACTACTAATAAAATTGCAATATAAATTTCAATAACTTGAAAACATAAATATTATGTATATTTTTCAATATTAATTTTTAACTTCAGATCTAGTTCATTGTCCGTCTCAAGGTGTCAAAAGCAGCTGTAAGAATCACAGACAAAAATAACTGGCGGAAGAATATTATAGTCGGTAAAGCCACAGGAATTCAAACAACAGACAAATCAGTGCGATTTGATTCTGTTACGCGAGTACGTTGCTCCGTTGAAAAGATTAAAGAATAAGTAGTTTATTTTAAAAGAAAAAGAAAGATTTTTTGCAAGAATATATCATATGCACGAGGGAGTGTTAATAACAAACGTACTCGGAGTTCTTTACAAGGCTTCCGACCACTTTGCTGCGCCTTTTGCGCGGATCAATAAGAAAGGTGCATGAACAGCAGCGGGGGCAAAAAGCGGCAGTCACATGCACGTACAGCCCTTTTAGGCGACCGGTGGACGGATGGAAAATTACTTTTGAGCACTGCAAATAGAGAGAGTGAAAGACGAGTTTCTGAAATTGTGTGTGCGCGAACAAGTAATGAAAAAAGTTTTCACGTGGTAAAGCTGGAAGCGTCGAATTGAAAGAGTCGCTTTGCCATTAATTGCACACGAGTTTGAACAAAAGCGATGACAATTAAAGTGTATTTAAACAGGCAGCTGTACCGACGTCTGACTCTGGGTCGAGTGAGAGATGCCGCCGCTTTTAATGGGGTCGTCCTCTCCAGTGAAAAGAGAGAAAGGGAGAAGCGTTTTATCCTGAGGGT